GGAGCAATGATTGTCAGCCTCGTGGCTTTGTTTACGTTATGGTTCATTTGCAAAAAAGCACAATGTGAATGCAAACCGCACCAAACGAAAAAAAAAAGTCCATTTTTGGTCCGCACCAAACAATTGGACCAAAGGACTTTCCTGGTCTGAATACACCCTTAAAGTTCCTGTGACAGTTTTTTTTTTTTGTAAAAAAAAAATGAATGCATTTTTTGAAAGACATTAACTATGTGCTTTTTTTTAAAAATCATGCTGCTGAGATGAACAGCTGTGGAGATATTTACATGTGAAGAAACAGGCAGTGATGTCAGAGGGGAATGTCTGCATGTGAACATAGAATTGTTACAATAGCCAACAACACAGACTGTACAAAATAATCTGATCTGTCTTTAAATTATTTTTGATTCATATTTCCAATAATGTTTCAGTATGTAAAGACTAGGGAGTTCACTTTCTTAAAGAATGTCACTTTGATGTCACTCCCTGTTCCACTTGGGCTGACCTAAGTTTAATATCCATTAATGTAACAAAATGGATAAAGCATGTGTATTATGCAAAGTTTCTTAAATATAAAGATGTTTTCTTTGATATTTTGTATTTGATGGAAATGCATGTCACAGRCACTTTAAATCTGTGCTTTCCGTGAATGGCACACGTTTTAGTAAGGTTTGAGTTCTTCAGAGAGCATTTCAGTACTGCCTGGTTCACCTTCAGCTCCAACTTTCAAAAGTTACTTTGCCAGCTAAATGCTAAACTCCACACTTCAAACAACAATTTATAGTTGAGCTGAAATGAATAAGATACACAGAGAGTTTAATTGGTTGTTTTAATTTGCAGTTGCAGAGTAATGATGCAGCAGCTCCAGTAAGAATCATCGGTGAAGACGCTGTAGCTGAGAACAACAAGGAACCGAATACAACTAAAGCGACACCTGAGGATGTGAAGGGTACAGCCTAGGATAAAGCGGTTTATCACAGTGATTTCCTTTACTTGTTCTTCTTGTGTAACATTTTGTGTGTTTGACAGAAATTTCCTCTCCWCTGAACGAGACACAAACGAGCAGACGACCCCGCTTTTTGATCCCAAAACGAATTAAGAGAAATGCTGGAATAAACTGTCCAACAAGGGTGATCCTGCCTGGTGTCAGCTCTCTGAAAGGTGTGCCTCACTATGATTCACCGTTTATTTAAAGCATATTTGATCATTTCAGAAACACTTTCATAGTAAGATTAAACAGATATAGGTGTCTGCTTGTTGTTAGGTCAAGCATGTCATTTGTTTATTTTTTGATTAGTTATAATCAAAGTTATGGTCGTCAACTATACCAACAGGCAGCAAGTAGAAGCTTTATGTAATGAGACTAAAGAGCCATCCACACCTAGAGCAATGACAATAACAGCATGAGGATTCACACTACTGAGTGCTAAGTTTCTGTAAATAATGTTACCAAGCACACTGCTTGTTCAAGCTGTGTGTATATCTCAGAATAGATTTTAACAAGAAGCTTTTAAAGACTCTAACTCTCTGTTACAAGAACTAACCTTTTAAAGATAAATGTATCTTTGAGCTGTCGTTATTCAGATATAATTAAAGGGAGCATATCGTGCAAAATCCACTTTTTTAGCTGTTAAATGCATATTGTTGTGGATTTARAGTCCAGGAGTGCAGAAAATTTAAATTTCCTCTCTCCTGTTGCTGTGTAAATATCTTTATATTCTGTTTGGTAGGGCTGGGCTATATGGCAAAAAAATTATCATGATGAATTTTTTCATATCGTCCGATCTCGATTAGTATCATGATTTTTTTTTTTTGTTAATCTAAAAAGTGACCGAAAAATAATTTAACAAATAAATAGCTACAGAAATTTTAAAAAATGGCTGTTATTTCACTTTCACTAATATAACCAATAGCTGTGGTTCAGTAGAACATGAAATTATTTTTTRCATGGTATTTAAAAAAGTATTTACCAAGAAAAAAAAGAACATTTACTGGTATGTGTAAGTAGTAGAGTCTCACATTAATAAAGCCGACAGAACTTACAGAAAAGTTTTTCTCCAGATGAATGAAGAACTGCTGGAACATTGTTCTGTCCTAAACATTATACTAACAGTGCTTCATTTTTCTGTAGGACGCTTTTGTTTTAGCGAGTCGCGCATCGTGGCTCACTTTTCCTTTCTCCCCCTCCCTCTCTTTCTTTGTCGGGAGAGGAGCTCAGAGCTCACCCTGTGTGCCTGTTAGCAGGTAAAGGCAGGTACAGGAAGCGACAGCGGCCAAAATACCTCAGAAACTYACCCAAATAAGKGAACTCTGTGAGATTCAGCGTTTTATACTGGATTACTTTGGTTAATTCTGCGATTCGGTCTGTGTTTCCTTAACAACTTATAAACAGAAGTGGTGCAGGAGAGGGTGGATTCTGATTGGCTGTTGTCGCTCACATTTCCGCYATGTTTGATCGAGGAAGAGGCTCACAGCTGATCACYGTGATCGACCTGAATTATTTCTCAATCAGTAATTTTGATCAAATAATCGCCCAGCATCTTATTAGCAGACTTGTATCCTTAGCTGCTTAATAAATGTTATTTTAAAACTTTTTTTTCAAATTATTTCCTTAACTAATGACAAATAGAAATTTAATAAAGATTAATATTTAACTGATAATATTCATGGTAATAAAATGTTAATTTTTCATCACCATAGAAGAGGTGTTCTTGAGAAATATGGTAGGCTGTCACTTTTTTTAAATAGGTCGAGCTGCTCCAAAATAGACCCCAACCATTTTTGCCACTACTATTAACTGATTTGAGCAACTAAATTGCAATGAATTTATGCACCTAATTGTTGTTTTTATTTTATTTATTTTTTGTTACAAGTTCTAGTGAGAACATTTGTTCATAATTAAAAAAATTTTAAGATTAATTGTTTCTGCATCTTTTCAGACTTGGAAGACATCTTCCTGTTAGCAGGCGTTGGACGTAATTCACTTGGAGTTACCCACCAAGACTTGAAGAACGTGTTTGGACCATCGACCCCCAGCGAAGGAGCTTTGGAGTGCTATGATGCTGACGGAGACCGGAGGTATTCCCTGTCGGAGCTGAGAGCTGCTGTGGATATTTGAACGCATCCTTGACGTCGGCAGTGAACAGTATTGAAAACCCAGCGGGGTCTGAGGGGGTTTGGGGTTCCCAGCCCCTTTCTGCAATTGCTGCACTTTTTGTGAACTGAATATTTAACTTACTGATTGTGGAAAAAAAAAAGTGGCACTGGTATGCCCTCTCACCACTCACACCCTTTACTCCCCTGAGGTTCACTTTAAGATATCAGCCACAAAGCATTGCTTAYCTTTTAACAGCGTTCCACGAGTCCCTGTAAGTAAAATGTCACTTAATTAGCTAATTCTTTGGTTTATGTTAGTAAACCATTGATATGTGTTTTTTTGAACCCTATTATTCATCCTCAGTCTTTAACTTGTGCTCATGTACTTGTAGTTTTTTTTTCTCTGTATTTTTTATTTTTGTTTTAGCTACCAGTGAAATAGTTTGAGATACTTTTATCAGTCCGCTGCATAYGAACCTATCTGAACATCTGGTACAATTTGCATAAAGTTAATTTAAAAAGACAAGAAGTAGAAGTTATGAATGTTTACAAGTGACCACTAGAAACAGCCTTTTCAGGCTTTGGTCATTTTTTTTAAAATGATTACTTAAGTTATAGAAAACACAAGTACAAGAGTCACAGTCTTTGTCTACTCTTTTAAAGCTAAAAGAAAAATGTAAAGTTTGTTTTTGTTTCTTTATCTTGTTCTAACTGGGATCACGTAATTGATCTGAATCGTCTTGATTTTGTATTTTTCATGTTTTGTAGATTTGAAGGGCTACAAACACCTTGAACTGGTTATTTATGGGGCATATGTAGCAATAAGCAATGGTTTAAAAAACGGCACACGTTGCTCACAATATGTAACAGGTAGTATAAGAAGCACTGACTATTATTTCCTTGATTCATCTTAATGGTTTAATAATGGTGTGTTTACATTCGCAAAATGATCATATTCAGACTTTGCTCTGCACTGAAAATGTATTAATCAACTGGTTAGCTTGTTAAGGGTTTGAGTTGTTAAATTTATGGTCTGAATCACAGAGTTCTTTTAACAGTTTAGTTGTGCTGTGCATGTTTTGTGTGTCATGAACAAATCTATCAAATTAACCTGTAATTGTTTATGCAGGACAATGTTTAGTTGAGCTCAGTGTGTCAGGGCTTCGGCCTTCATCGTGGCTTCAATTTTGGGTCCACAGTGCAATGTATACGAGAAATTTTATGATTGKATTTTTGTTTAAGCATAAATTAAAACAGTCAAGGGTTTGATTTGGTTGATTTACTTGGTAATAATAAACTGAGAAGCCTCATTTCTTTCACACGTGCAATTTTTTATAATCATTTTTTGAAACATACAAAATCTTATGCGATCATTTTTGTAACAAAAACATATTTACAAATCTCTAAATGTTACTTTTTTGCACAAAATAATTCCTGTTACATTTCTATAAATCACAACCACTAAGCCAGAGCCCCTTTAGCCCTCCAGTCCTGGGACAAAAGCCCCAACAACACCTCTTCATCATCATCCTCCTCTTCTTCAACGCTCTCTGTTTCCATCCGTTCGCTCTCTTTGGGCGCATGTTTGCTTTTCAGCACATCCCTCTTATCTCTGAGCAGTTCAACTCTTTTATAACACTCAATTTGTTCATCAATTTCGTCAATCTGACGTTCAAGACGCCCTTCTTCGTCGTCCTCTGCCACGATGGCTTCTGATTTGGTGTTAACCTGTCTTATCTCCTTTTGAAACTCTTCCCACTCCTTGTCCATTTGATCCTTGGGCGCGTCGACATTACGCACTTTGGCGTCTCTGACGGGATCGTCGAAAAAGCCCTCGGGCAGCGCCTCTGCGGTGTTGTCTTTCTTTTCAGCGCTCTTTTCTTGCGCGTCTGCTTTGAGGATGGATCCCGAATGGGAAATGGCAGGTGTCGGTGGGATGGAGCAGTCAAAGAAGTCAGATGGTAATCCTGCGGCTTCAACCTTCTGAGCAGGATTCGCCTCGCCAGTTTCTTCGTCGTCCTCCTCGTCGTCGTAAACTCCTGCCAATAGACTGAGTCCTGCAGACCTTTGGGCAGAAGCTTTGTCGCTGGGCTTCTCGAAGAAATCTCCAGGTACACCTTCAGCTGGTGCCGACTGACCCGCAGGCGACGCTGCCTTTACCTTTTTCCCAGTGCCGTCTTCGTCGTTGTCCGAGGCTTTCCTCTTCCCGGTTTGACATTGTGGTGCCGCTGGTTGACTTTTCCCGGACTTCAGTTCAGCAACTTTTTCTTTATGTTGCTTCCCGAGAACATGAGCTGGCCACAGCAGTTCAGACTTCACCTGCACACCGCACACGGTGCAAATGAGGTGGCCCAGGCTGTTGTATTTAGCGAACGGAGACTCGATGCGCTTTTTGTCCGCGGTTTGTCTTTGTTTCTCCCTCATCAGCCGCCGGAGCTCCTCTTGATTTACCACTTTCTTTCCCTTTTTGGAGGTTGCCATAATTGATAGCACAGCTTCTTAGCTAAATTGCGCTCGTAACACCAGTAAAATAAAATAACTGCGTCTCACAAATATGACGACAGCATTTCTTCTTCTGTGGTTCAATCGTGGTATGCAGACTTCATTATACTCATTACTGCCACCAACTGTATCGGCTGACCAAAACTTAAATAAATGCTTTGTGTGTGTTTTATGTCAGTGGTTCCCAAACTTTTCATCTTCTGACCCACAAAATATCCATGACAAAAACTTGTGACCCCAAATATTACTGGTCTGAGTATACAAACTCCGTTAATAACCCTAAAAACACAGGCTTTTTGACAATCTAAACAGCTTGTACACAAATATAAATACTTATTTATACTTATTTTGTG